TTAATGCCTTGGATGAGGGGGTGAATAACTCAGTGGTTAAGTTTGTGGATGATACTAAGCTGTGGGGAAATGCTGGCACATCACAGGATAGGGCAAAGATCCAGGATGATCCTGACAGACTGGTTTTATGCAAAATGAAATCAGATTAGGTTTAACAGGGAGAAGTGCAGGGCTCGTCACCTGGATATGAAGAACCTTCACAACAACTACATGACGGGTGGTGGTACACTGGTTGGGACAGCATCTGAATGGGACCTGGGGGTCACAATCAACTGGAAGATGAGCATGAATCAACAGTGCGATGAGGTTGCCAGTGGGGCAAATAAACTCTGGCATGCATCAGCCGATGTGTTCCCAACAGATCCAAGGAGGTGCTTCTCCCTGTCTATTTGGCATTGGTGAGGCCACAGCTGGAGTACTGTGTCCAGTTCTGGGCACCACACTTCAGGAAGGATGTGGATAAGCTCAAGAGGGTACAAAGAAGGGCCACCCATATGATTAGGGGCCTATGAGGAGAGACTCTAGGAACTGGGCCTGTTCAGTCTGAGTAAGAAAAGCCCGAAAAGTGACTTGATAGCCGCCTACAAGTATGTTAGAGGCGAGCATCAAGATCTAGATTTCATAAATTTCATAGACATTAGGGCTAGAAGGGACCTCGAAGATTATCAAGTCCAGCCCCTTGCCCCAGGGGCAGGAAGTCAGCTAGGGTCAAAGGATCCCAGCAAGATAAGCATCCAAACATTTCTTGAAAGAGTCCAGAGTAGGTGCCTGCACCACTTCTGGAGGGAGTCTGTTCCAGGTCTTGGGGGCTCGGACAGTAAAGAAAATTTTTCTTATGTCCAGCCTGAAATGGTCTCGGAGGAGTTTATGACCGTTGGTCCCTGTTTTACCTTGGGACACTCTGGTGAACAGATGTTCTCCCAGATCCTGATGTACACCCACTATGTACTTATAGGCAGCCATCAGGTCCCCCCTGAGCCTGTGCTTTTCCAGGCTGAAGAGTCCCATGGCTCTCAGCCTCTCTTCATAAGGCCTATTATCTTGCCCTTTGATGATGCATGTGGCTCTCCTCTGGACTCTCTCAAGCTTCTCCACATCCTTCTTGAAGTGAGGAGCCCAGAATTGGATGCAGTACTCCAGTTGTGGCCTCGCCAAGGCCGAGTACAGTGGGAGGATGACATCCTGAGATTTACCTGAGAAGCATCTATGGATGCAAGCCAGAGTTTGGTTAGCTTTACCAGCTGCAACATCTCATTGGTGGCTCATGTTCATCTTGTGGTCAATCATGACCCCCAAGTCTCTTTCAGTAGTGGTGCTACCAGAGTGTAGCACTGCCAAGCCTATAAGCATGCTGCGGGTTTTTTTCCCCAAGGTGGAGTACCTTAAATTTATCAGTATTGAACGTCATCAGGTTTGTATCCGCCCACTTACTAAGTTTATCCAAATCAGCCTGGATCACTAGCCTGTCCTCAGGTGTGGATGCTATGCCTCAAAGTTCAGTGTCATTGGCGAACTTAGACAGTGCGCTTTTGACACCAATGTCCACATCACTGATAAAGTTGTTAAAGAGAACCAGTCCAAGGACAGAGCCTTGGGGGATGCCACTGGTCACGGAGCACCATAATGATTCACTACCATCGACCACTACTCTCTGGGTCTGACCTCAGAGCCAATTTCCCAACCATCGGACTGTGGTGCAGCCAAGGCCACAGTTGGCCAATTTTTCCACGAGGAGGTCATGGGACACCAGATCAAAGGCTTTGTTAAAGTCCAGATATATGACATCAATCTCTTCTCCCTTGTCCACCTGGTCATAGAAGGAGATGAGATTGGCCAGGCAAGACCTACCATGACAAACCCATGCTAGCTATCCCTCAGGATGTTGCCCTCAGTCAGCTTATCCAGAAGGGTCTCTTTGATAATTTTCTGCAGAGAAAATCCTTTACCAGGGACTGAGGTCAAGCTGATTGGCCTGTAATTCCCAGGATCTACTGTCCGCCCTTTCTTGAAGATGGGTACCACATTGGCCTTCTTCCAGTCTTCAGGTACTTCACCTGAGTGCCACAAGTTTTCAAATATTTTTGCCAATGGTTGGGCTATGATACCTGCCAGCTCCTTGAGTACTCTAGGGTGGAAAATCCTTTACCAGGGACTGAGGTCAAGCTGATTGGCCTGTAATTCCCAGGATCTACTGTCCGCCCTTTCTTGAAGATGGGTACCACATTGGCCTTCTTCCAGTCTTCAGGTACTTCACCTGAGTGCCACAAGTTTTCAAATATTTTTGCCAATGGTTGGGCTATGATACCTGCCAGCTCCTTGAGTACTCTAGGGTGTAATCTGTCAGGACCAGCAGACTTGAAGGTGTCCAGCCTCTCAAGGTGATCCTTTACTAGATCAACACCAATGCTGGGTATAAATACGCCCTCACGCTGGCTATTCCATGTCTTGCTAGGCAGGGCGGTCCCATTGAACTGATGAAGGACTGATGCAAAGTACCCATTAAGTAGATTGGTCTTTTCCTGGGTGTTGGTTATCAGCTGTCCCCAGGGGTCCAATGTTACCCTTGCTTTTTTTTCAACTCCCTACATATCTGAAAAAGGATTTTTTGTTGTCCTTGATATGTAACGCCAGGTGGAGCTCAGTTGCAGCCTTGACTTTCCTAATCCACTCCCTACAGGTACAGACCAGTGCTGAGTACTCCTCCTTGGTGGTAATTCCAGCCTTCCATCCTTTATAAGTCTCTTTTGACACATAGAAAGTCCTCCAGTTCCCTGCTAAGCCAAGGGGGTTGCTGCGCTCTTTTGCTACCCTTCCTTTGTGATAAGATGGTCATCCCTTGAGCTGTCAGGATCGCTCCCTTAAGGAGCAACCACTCCTCTTGGAATCCTCTTCCTGTTGAGTCATGGTCCCTTAGGGCCTTGGCAACGAGCCTCCTGAGCTTGTCAAAGTCAGCTTTCCTGAAGTCGAGGACTTCTGTATTGCTGACCGACTTGACAGCTTTGCGATGGATAGTAAAGGTGATCAGCTTGTGGTCACTATCACTCAGCTTCCTATCAATTCTTAGGTCACTGACCAGGTCATCCCCTTTGGCCAGTACCAGGTCCAGCAACACTTTACCTCTTGTCGGCCCATAGACTTCTTGAGTCAGGTAGAGCTTGTGAGGAAGCTATGCGACTGATCGGATTTGGCCGAGTGCTCTTCCCATGAGATGTCCGGGTAGTTAAAGTCTCCCATGACAACCATGCACTAAAAGTGTGCAGCTTCAGCCAGTTCCCTGGTGAATTCCTGGTCCAGCTCTTGTTTGTGGTTAGGAGGTCTGTAGTAGACTCCTAGGGGAGCAACTCTTCAGAAAGGCACCTTGAGAGAAGACGAGGACCAATGGCCACAAGCTAATAGAGGGAAAATTTAGGCTGGACATAAGAAAAAAAAACTTTTTCCATAAGGTTACCAGAATGTGGAACACATCCTAGCAGAGGTGGCTGGATAAGCACCTTGTTGAGCTCATTTGAGCCCAGTAACTTCCTGCCCATGGCAGCAGAAAGGACTTGATGATCTTGCAGGTCCCTTCCAGTCCTTTGTTTCTATAATTCTATGAAAATGATGATAAAAGTTTGCTCTTCTGAGCGGCCAGCATAGTTATTCCTTCCTCCTCTTTTCACCAGCCATACTGAATTCAGAAGGAATTTATTTTACCTCTTCAGTGAAACTGTAGTGGAAGATTCATACAGAGGTGAAAACTAGGGCTGTGCAAAGCTTTGGGTGCTGATATAATTTGGAGAAGATTTGGCCCAATTTGCTGGCCAAATCTCTGAATCTGAATCAAATCAGGGGACCAATTAAAAGATCCAAATAAATTCAAAGCTCTCCAAATCTTCGGAAAAGATTTGGAGAGCTTTGATGATTCAAACAGTCCCTGGTGGCTGCAGCAGGGAGCTCCAGCCAGACTAGGAGCTGGTAAATAGTGGGCAGGGGAGAGAGGGCTGGGGGAGGGGGGAGGAGACCATGGGGGGACACCTGCCAGGCCCCATCCCCTCCCCGCTCCCCCAGCTCCACCCCCCACCATGGCTGCCCTGTCCGCCCCAGCTCCCGGTGCTTTAAAAAAAAGCCCCACTCACTGGGTGCTGCCGGGCAGGGGGGTGATCCTCACTGCCCCACTTTGTATGGGGGGCTCTGCCACAAGTCCCCTGACCTCCCCCCCACTGTCCCAGCCCTCCCTATGGCTGCCCCACCCGGCCCAGCTCCAGCCCTTTAAGGTTTTTTGTTTTTCTTAAAAGGCTGGAACCGCAGAGGGTGGGGCAGCCATGCGGGGTCCGGGGGAGCGAGAGGAAGGTCAGGGGACTTGTGCAGAGCCCTCCACACAGCGTGGGGCAATGGCGGGCAGTGGGGATCGCCCTCCCACCCAGCAGCACCCAGTGAGTGGGGCTGCGGCGGGCAGGGGATGGGCCTGACCTGGGTGATTCGGAGATTTGGAAACTCAGCAGCAGCCGAATCTCTGAATCAGATTTGGCTGAATTGATTCAGGACAATGATTCGAATCACCAAATCGAATCACTGTCCCCTGAATCAGCCGAATTCGAATCTGAAGTGAATACTAGCTGCTTTGCACAGGCCTAGTGAAAACCTGGTTGAAGAATCAAGACCTACATTTAGACTCTGTTCCCAAAAATAACTGTTTGCATTTCATTTCAAAATATAATCTTGCATGATTAAATGTGTATGTGGGAAGATTTTTTTTAAGTTTATAAAGGCTTTGTGCAAGAGTCAGCTTTTTTTTTCCTTAGAATGCAAACTGTAAGAAGTATTTTTAAGAAGCTGGTGCTAAGTATCTGATATTATTGTTGTTGTTGCTGCAATGCTTTATAACAAGGTAATTCAGAAATCCACATTTCTGCCTTTGAAATACTATAAAACAAACCTATACTTTTTTTTAGTTCAGTAGATTTGTTTGAATTTTCCTATAAGACTGATTTATATGAAAAATTAACAGAAACATTTCTCACCAATTCTCTTTGCAATTCTTTGGCTCCTCCTTATCTGTTTGTCCTGGTTATTTATAAAAGTTGATCCTTTACACATACCATCTCCCAGCTCTGAACACTGGTCTTCACTGTCCTTAGAAGCAGATTCTTGTATTCTATTGAAGAAAAATGTGTCTAAAATCAACAAATATAATCTCACCATATAAATAAGAGTGTAATAGTTACACTAGATTTACATTTAAACTTACATAATTTTTAAAAGAAACGTGTGTGCGCTAATAATATATACATACACACACACACACACACACACACACACACACACACACACACACATGTATGCATGTGTATTAGGGCTGTGCAAAACTTTGGCAGCTGTTTTGTTTCGGAGGTGTTTTGGCACCCAAAACACTGACTCTGAAATGAAACAGAAGGCTCCGAAACATCTCCAAAACTAAACAAAACCATCCAAAATGTTTCAGAAATGTTGTGAATGTTTCAGAGGTGGGCTTGCAGGGAAACAGAAACTCAGAAGCAGGTGGGGGAAGGGGGAGTGAGGAAGGACTGCTCTGATATTGACATCTGTAGCTGGCCAGTGTCTATGAACTGTCCCTGAGGTCCCTTCCAATCCCAGTGCTCAGCCTGCTATCATCCAGTGTGCAGATCTGGGGGCCCATGGCCCCCAGGAGGAGTCTGGCACAGCCTTGCAACCCTCCCGGGGAGCGCAGGTAATATGTTGTGAGTTCAGCAACAACACTCTGGACACTCATGGATTGAACTAACAGTTATGTATTATTATAATTCTCTGGAATCATATCCAAGGTGGATCTATTGTCCTCAGTATATGTATGCATATACTTGCTCTGCCTCTGACTTGACCCAGTCCAGTCCTGTGGAGACAGCGGAACCAAGACTGCCTCTGGTTCCTTATGGCAGAGAAAATGGAGTCCCCAGTGCTGCAAAAACTGCCACAAAGCAAACTGAACCCTGCAATGCTGAACATGAGGGTTTTGGCCTTAAAGGGGCAGTACAAGGAAAACACAATAAGACACAACACCCCTTCCCCCTAGACAGAATAGTCAGCCAACCATTTGGGAGGACTCCACTGCTGCTGTGGTCTTCCCATATAACTGGACTCATTGAGAGGTTCAGCACTATCTGGAGACTCAACAGTGACGCTTCCTTCTGACGATAATGGAAAAGGGTTTGCATTGGTGGAAACAGGTAGGCACTTCCCTAATGAATCCATGTCTGTCGGTGGTGGATTGGTGCTTGGAGATTGCTTGGGTGTAGGGTTATCAGTAGGAGAACGCCCACACAGCTGGTCCACATAACATCTCCAAACTTGTCCGTCATCAGTCTGGACTGTATTTGATATGGTTCCTGTGGCGCTTACAATTTTAGAATGAACCCACTGTGGGCCTGTCCCATAGTTTGAAGCAAACAGTCTCTTGTGGAATGAAAGGACGTAAGGTACCAGATGCCAATGCGGAGTCCAGCTCCTTTTCTTTCCTAAACTGCATGTCTCTCACCAGGTCTCGATTAACACAGTCAAGGCATGTCATGAGTCGACGATCCATAAGAAGCTCTGATGGGCTGGACCCTGTTGTAGGGCAAGGAATTACATGTTGAGCAAACAGAACAGATGCAAACACTGCTATTAGGTTTTAACACAGGAACAATTGGTGTGGCCCAGCTTGTCTATACAATGGGCACGAGGACCCCTTATACAATAAGCCAATTTAATTCTGCATCAATTTTCATCCGCAGTGCAAAAGGTACATTCCAAGCCTTCATAAAGATAGGGGCTATCGCAGGATCCATTTGGAAAGTCACAGGTGGACCTAATTCCTTGGAGAATACCTGGGGAAACTCCCTTGCAAGCCTTGCCAGACTTCTGTGCAGAGACTGTGTACGCCTTGAATACTGATTCCCAATGGTGAGAACCAATTTTTCCCCGGAAGACTTTGTGGGGCCCTTTAGTAGGGGTAGACGCTGTCTAACATATCCATACTGGACATTTACACTGCAGCTACCCAAAGTTTCCATAATCTGTCCATTGTAGTCACGCAGGCGACACTCAGGTTTCAATAACTTGGGGAGAGGGTCCCAAAACAACTGGAAGAATGTGTTTTCATTTATGAGGAATACTCCCAAACCCGAGTCCACTTCCATTTTACACTTCTTTCCATTTATTTCTACAGTTGCAATCATCTGAGAACCTTGAGTTTCAACAACACCAACATTTTTAATCAAACATAGTTTTTGTACCACATGTTCTGGGAAGAACTCTAATCTGTGTGTGGTTTGGGAGTGAATACATTTGCCACAGTGTTTTGTCTCCTGGAACTGGCCTTTGAGCGGCAAACCCTCTCTATGTGGCCCTTCTTCTTGCAGGCATGACACTGCACATTCCTAAACCTGCACTCCCTTCTTGGCTGCCACAACTCCAACATATCTGTGGATTAATTGGTTTATGTGGTGCTGTTGGTGAGGGTGTAATCTTCAGAATTTGCTGGTGATGATCTGATTCTTGATCTTTTTGGAGTAAGCAGATATTGCTGGAGAACACCTGGCGAATTTCTATCACGTTATGGGATGCTGCTTCAGCTGCCAAGTCTTTTTCTTGTGCAGTAGCCAAGGTCAAATTTGGTTCAGAGAGCAGGCAGCATTGGATTACTTCATCTTGAACCCCACAGATAAGACAGTCACAAAGCAGGCCATCCAGGACATCCCCAAACTCACAAAATTCTGCAAGGCGATTGAGCTCAGCCAGGTAATCTGCTATGCCTTCATTGGCCTTTTAGTCCCATTTAAAAAAAATGAAATCTCTGCAGTGTAACAGATGGTTTTGGGCAAAAATGTGCCTTTAGCAGAGCAAATAGTTCAGCATAAGACTTAGTGTTTGGTAAGGCAGGTGTTGTGAGGGAATGAACAATGGCAAATGTTTTGGCACCACAGACTGTCAGGAGGATCGCACACTTCTGTTCTGGGCTTTCCACTTTGTTGGCTTCCAGGTAATAGGATAGCCTTTCCATGTAAGAGTCCCAAGAAGCCAGCTGGCTCACATCAGATTCTTCTATGTGACCCGATGTAGCCATTTTAACTAACATCAGCCATATTAGAAAGAAAAGAAGAAGAAAAAAAACTTCCCTCCGATCACAAAACACAGCCTGGTCTCAGACTGTTGTCCCACAATCTAGGAGTGTCTTTCAGCAAAGGATCCCATCCTCGTCGCCAGATAATATGTTGTGAGTTCAGCAACAACACTCTGGACACTCCTGGATTGAACTAAGTTATTTATTATAATAATTCTCTGGAGTCATATCCAAGGTGGATGTTAACAATTGCCCTCAGTATATGTATGCAGAACTTATACTTGCTCTGCCTCTGATTTGACCCCGTCCAGTCCTGTGGAGACAGCGGAAGCAAGAATCCCTCTGGCTCCTCATGGCAGAGAAAATGGAGTCCCCAGTGCTGCAAAAACTGCCACAAACTGAACCCTGCAGTGCTGAACATGAGGGCTTTGGCCTTAAAGGGGCAGTACAAGGAAAACACAATAAGATACAACAGCGGGTCCCCAGATCTGCGTGCAAGATGACAGCAGGCTGCTACTGCCAGCTGAGGCCAGTGCCAGCACCCGAATCTACTCAGCCCAGCCCGTGCCGAGTGCCGGAAAGAACTCGGTGCTGGTGCTGGCCCCAGCTGGCAGTGGCAGCCTGCTGTCATCCTGCGCACAGATGCTGCAAGCCCTGCTCGGAGCCCTGCTGCACTGGCAGCAGCTACCCGGAGCTGGGGCTGGCCACTGCTTGCCAAGCAAAATGGCTTCACGTGCCCCACACGGCATTAGTGCCAAGGGTTGCTGACCCCTGGTCTATATCATTGATGAAGATGTTAAATAGTATAGGCCCTAGGACAGAGCCTTGAGGGACCCCACTAGTCACAGCGCACCACGACAATTGACTTCCATCTACCACCACCCTTTGGGTCCTACCGCAGAGCCAATTCCCCAGCCACCGGATCATGGTGAGGCCAAGGCCGCAGTTAGCCAGTTTTGCCAAGAGGTGATCATGGGATACCAGATCGAAGGCTTTTTTTAAGTCAAGATATATGACATCAATCTATTCCCCCTTGTTCAGGTGATAGGTCACCTGGTTGTAAAAGGAAATGAGATTGATCAAGCAAGACCTACCCACAACAAACCCGTGCTGGCTATCCCTTAGGATGTTGTCGTTAGCCAGTCTGTTAAGGATGGCCTCTTTGATAATCTTTTCCAAGACCTTCTCCAGGATAGAGGTCAGGCTAATGGGCCTGTAGTTTGCTGGATCCACTTTCCTCCCTTTCTTGAAGATGGGCACCACATTGACCTTCTTCCAATCTTCGGGCACTTCACCAGAGCACCAGGAGTTCTCGAAGATCCGTGCCAGGGGCTGAGCTATGATGCTTACTAGCTCCTTAAGTACCCTTGGGTGTAAACCATCAGGGCCAGCTGACTTGAAGGTATCCAGCCTCTCAAGGTGTTTCTTTACAAGGTCAGCTTTGATGGAGGGTAAGGAATCTCCCTCACCCGGGCCTCCGTCCTGTCGTGGGCAGGGGCATCCCATGGGACTGGTGGAAAACTGACGCAAAGTACTCATTTAGCAAGTTTGCTTTTTCCTGGGTGTCGGTTGTCAGTTGTCCCATCTGGTTTAGCAGGGGTCCACTGTTGCCCTTGCTTTTCCTCTGGCTCTCACATATGTAAAAAAGGACTTTTTATTGTCCTTGATATTTGTAGCTAGCTGGAGTGCCGTCACAGCCTTGGCTTTCCTGGTTTGCTCTCTGCAGGTCCAGACCAGTGCAGAGTACTCCTCCTTGGTGGTGGATCCAGTCCTCCATCCTTTATAGGTCTTTCTTTTAAGACGCAGGAGGTCCGCTAGTTCCCTGGAGAGCCAAGGGGGCTGCTGTGCCCTTTTGCTGCCTTGCCTCCGAGATGGGATAGACTTTGCTTGCGCATCCAGGATTGCTCCCTTTAGGAGCAACCACTCGTCCTGGACTCCCCTCCCCTTTGGGTTTTGGCCCTTGAGGGCTTCACTGACAAGCCTCCTTAGCTTGTCAAAGTCAGCTTTCCTGAAGTCTTGGAGCTCTGGTGTAGTGCCCGAAGACTGGAAGAAGGCCAATGTGGTGCCTATCTTCAAGAAAGGGAGGAAAGTGGATCCGGCTAACTATAGGCCCATCAGCCTGACTTCTATCCCAGGGAAGATCTTAGAAAAG